GCTTGATCATAGTGAATGATCTTTTTGATGTGTCTGTATGTGGTTTGCAAGTATCTTGTTGAGAATTTTTGCATCTATGTTCATTAAGGATATGGGTCTATAGTTTTCTTTTCTGGTTGTATCTTTGCCTGGCTTTGCTATTAGAGTGATTCTGGCTTCACAGAAGGAATTTGGAAGTTTCCCTTCATTTCTATCTTTTTGAATAAATTAAGTAGTATTGGATGTAGATATTCTTTAAATGTCTGATAGAATTCTGCTGTAAATCCATCTGGTCCTGGGCTTTTTTTAGTTGGGAGGTTTTGTATTACTGTTTCAGTTTCCTTTTGTGTTATGGGTCTGTTTAAACTCTTAATCTCTTCTTGGTTTAGTTTTGGTGGTTCCCATGTCCCGTGTCCCATGTCCATTTCTTTTAGGTTTTCAAATTTAGTAGCATATAGGTTTTTAAAGTATTCCCTTATAATGTTCTGTATCTCTGGTGTCTGTTGTGATGTTTCCCCTTTCATCTCTGATTTTGTTGATTTGGAGGTGCACTTTCTTTCTTTTGGTTAATTGGGCTAGCAGTCTTGTCAATCTTTTCAAAGAACCAGCTCTTGGATTTGTTGATTCTTTGTATTGTTTTCTTTGTTTCTATTTCACTACTTTCTGCTCTGCTTTTTGTTATTTCTTCTTGTCTGCAGGGTTTGGGTTTTGGTTCCTGTTGCTTTTCATGTGTCTTGAATTGCAGTGTTAAGTCATTTGTTTGTCTTCTTCTGAATTTTTAGTATAGGCACTTAGAGCTATAAACTTCCCTCTAAGGACTACTTTCAATGTCCCAGAGGTTTTGTTGCGTTGTATCGTCCTTTAGATTTAGTTCCAGGAATATTTTTATTTCTTTCTTAATTTCTCCTTTGACCTATTCATCATTCAGAAGTTTGTTGTTTAATTTCCATGTGTTCATGCCTTTACTGGGGTTTCTTCCAGTGTTGATTTTAACCTTTATTGCATTGTGGTCTGATAGAATGCATGGAATTATTTCAGCCTTTTTGTATTTTTTGAGGTTTGTTTGGTGCCTCTGTACATGGTTGATTCTGGAGAAGGTTCCATGGGGCACTGAATAAAAGTATATTCTTTGGTACTTAGGTGGAATACTCAGTAGATATCTGTTAGATCCATTTGATAAATGGTATTGTTTAATTCAGATGTCCGAGTATTGTTTTTATGAAGTTGGGTGCAGCAGAGTTTGGTGAGTATATGTTCATGACTGTAATATCTTCTTGATTTATTGCTCCTTTGATCAGAATGAAGTGGCCCTCTTTATTTCTTCTGATTAGTTTTAGTTTAAAGTCTATTTTGTCAGATATTAGAATTGCTACGCCTGCTTTTTTTCTTAGTACCATTTGCTTGGTATATTTTTTCCATCCTTTCACTTTGAGATAGTGTCTGTCCTTGAAAGTGAGATGAGTTTCTTGCAGACAACAAAAAGATGGGTTTTGCTTCTTAATCCATTCACCTAGTCTGTGTCTTTTGACTGGGACATCCAATCCATTAATATTTAAAGTTATTAATGAAAGATGAGTATTGAATCCTGTCATTTTTATTTCTGTTCACATTCTTGCTATAGCTGTACTTTTCCAGTTATATCTTCATTGAATTTCTTTCCACACTCCCTTGGGTATAGTCATTCCTTTCTTCAGCTCTTTGTATTGCTTCCAGAACTCTCTGAAGGGCTGGTTTTATGGACATAAATTCCTTCAGCCTATTTATGTCATGGAAGATTTTTCTTTCCTCTTTGACTATAATAGACATTGTGGCTGGGTATAGTAATCTGGGTTGGCATCTGTGGTCATTTAAAACTGGGAATACTTTGGTCCAGGCTCTTCTGGCTTTCATAGTTTGCACTGAAAAGTCAGCTGTAATCCTAACAGGTTTTCCCTTATATGTGACTTGTTTCTTTTTTGCAGCTTTCAGTATTGTCTCTTTGTTTTGTATGTTTAGTGTTTTTACTATGAGGTCCTGTGGAGAGTTTCTTTTCTGGTCCTGTCTGTTTGGTGTTCTATATGTTTCTGGTATTTGTATGGGCATGTCTTTCTTTAATTTTGGGAAATTTTCTTCTATGATTCTGTTGAAGATCTGGTCCATGCCATTATCTTGGGATTCTTCTCCTTCCTGTATGCCTATGATTCGTAAGTTTGGTCTTTTTATGGTGTCACACAATTCCTGCATATTCCATTCTTGTGATTTGTTAAATTTTTCATACTCTGCTTGAGTGGTCTAGTTCATCCACTTTATCTTCCAGTCTTGATACTCTGTTTTCCATTTCATTCATCCTGTTGGTGAGGCTTCCTCTGTCATTTCTAATTGGCTTACTGAGTGTTTCAGTTCCTTCTTCATTTCAGCCTGAGTAGTCTTCAATATTTCTAGCTCTTTTCTGGATTCATTCAGAAGTTTATCCCTATCTTCCTTCAGCTCTATGATTACCTTGTTTGTGTGTTCTTTAAATTCACTGAATTCTTTTATCATATTCATCATTGTTCTTTTGAGTTCCATGTCCTGCATTGTCTCTAGGGGGTTCTCATTGTGCTCCTCTAGAGGACAATT